AAACTTTTCTGACACACCTCACAGGGCTGCACACAAGAGGCAAACATTCCACACAAGAATCCAACTGAGGTACATTTGTTCATATACTGTATGTCATGTTGTGCATCACTGTTTTTGTTAAGGAATGCCTTGTGAAGCTAAAGTGCAGCTACAGCACGACACACTTTCCAAACAGTTGATTTGTGCCACAACTCAGACACTGATTTTATTGCCCAAATAACAATCACATTTTCTTTTTCTGCTGAGCGCTACGGTATAACAGCAGCTGTAATTTCCTCACAAACAATACAAGTGTAGCAGTCTGATCTCAAGACACACCTAAGATGAGATGTGTGAACTGCAGTTCAGTCTGGCTCTATCCAAATAAGGGCACTGTTTAAATGTCAGCGTTTTGATTATGTGTGACATGTTCTTGGGATTACCTTGGAGTTTTCCCGTATAGCGAGCATGGCAGCCTCCCTGCAGAGAGCACTGAGGTCTGCTCCAACATATCCTGTAGTTCTTTGTGCAAGCTCCGCCAAGTTGACACTGGGACACACAGGCATCCTCTCACACAGCACAGATAAGATGGCCTTCCTCTGCTGCAAGGTGGGAGCACCGATAATGACCTGAAGGAAACACAAGACTCAGAGGCTCAAAGGTTCATTTACATCAGTCAATGACACTTTAGTACAGACTCAGGGTCCAGATTGAGGACAAGTCATTACAAAGAATTAACTAATTATAAAACACACAGGATGAAAACATGGTTTGAAAAGAATACAAGTCAGTGTCCTACAAAGAGAAAACTGTACTGACATCTCCAAGAGAAAGGTCTTGTGCAGCCACAAACATTTCAGTTACACTCCACCATCTTGGTCTCTTTCTTAATATCCTAACAGCATGCACCATTTTTTTTTTCTGGATGACTTTTTGGTGATTCTTTTTATAACTCCTAAACAAGAATTTCAAAATAACTGGGTCCCTGAACTCTTGCAGGGAGAAATGTGGATCTGTACAAGTGGAGTGAGCTGCAGATTGAGCATTTCTGGTAGAAAGTAGGAGGAAGGATACTGCTCTTTAATATTGATGTGTCATTTTTCCAATCTGTGTTTCAGCGTTACTCGTGAAGTAAGTACAAACAACAACTTTCGTCTACAGAAAGACAGACAAGGATTAAAAACACTGGATTAAAAGGGATACCGTACCTCTCTGTCAAATCTTCCAGGCCTGCGCAGCGCCGGGTCTAAGCTGTCCGGCCGGTTTGTGGCTCCGACGATGAGAAAGCGATCGGACTGATTCATCCCATCCATCAGCGTGAGAAGCTGAGCAACCAGGCGATTCTCCGGTGCAGACGAGCCGGTTCTCCTCGGACACAGAGAGTCCAGCTCATCTAAGAACAGCACACAGGGACCTTCTTCTGCTGCAGACCGAGCCCGTTCGAACACCATCCTCAGCTTCTCCTCACTCTCACCCGGCCGTGATCCCACCACCTGAAACAATCATTCACAGTTACTCTTAATAATTAAAACTGCATTTATACATAAAATGTTGCTCAAAATTCTTAATGAGATAAAATAAAAAGCAAGTAAGTACATTTATTTTGAGTGGAACATCAGTCTTCCAGCACAAAAAAGGAAAGCTATTGAAAGACTTTGCTTGAATTTGAACCTCTATTGGTTGCAGCTTTGAGCAATTTATTTGAATCAATCCCAATGCATCACCTATCTATCTATCTATCTATCTATCTATCTATCTATCTATCTATCTATCTATCTAAAAATAACAATGTTAATAGATGTGCTGCTTGTAATGGAAAACTGAAAGATGGAATATACAAAGTACAATGTTAAAAAATGCTACTTCATGATTTTCTATTTTTTTCTTGAAGATAATGTTTTATCTTTAATTGGAGCAACATTCTCTATTGTTCAATATTTGAAAATCTGCTACTATGCCAGAGAATGATTGCACACAGACAAACTAAATTGATTTAATACCACCAGAGGAAGCTTGGACTCCAGAAAATCTGAGAGAAGAGGCATTATTAAGATGTTTTGTTTAATATAGGAGATATCAGTTATTCATCTGTGCAGAGAAAAGTAAACCAGATCCTATAATAAAAAACAAAATATCTTGATATTCTCTTCTCTCATTTTTAAAAAAAAAAGTAAAATCTTCACCTACAACAACAACAAATTCACACAATGATTTAATGCTCATATGATTTGATCATATAAACACTTTAACTATGATAATTTGGTAATAGTCTTTTGCTTCACTGATGGACATTTTCACCTGTTGATGGCTCTGATAAGCAAATGCAGGAAATGTAACCACATTTAGTACACAAAAAGGTGTCATTTTTATTTTTTACCTCTGGCCCTCTGACCACCACCAGGCTGGCTCCCACCTCCCCCACCACTCTGCGCACCAGCAGGGTCTTGCCAACACCTGGAGGCCCCACCAGGAGCACTCCTCTGGGACAGGACACACCCAGAGCGCTCAGGGTGTTTGGATAGAGCAGGGGCAGCTGTAGCATCTCTCTCAGGGATGCACTCACCTAAAATACAGCAAAAAAAAAACAAAACAAAGGTAGGTGGGATGCACAGAGTACAAAGTTAAATACTGCTCAGGTCAGTACAGTGAATTTGAGCCGACCTCGTCCAGTCCACCCAGCGCTACTGTGTTCTGGTCCTGAAGCTGACTCCTGTAGTGCCGGACTGTCTGGATGCCAGATATCTCCACACCAGTTTTTGAGGTGATATATCCAATAGTGTCAGAGTCTGGATTGATGCTTTCAATAACAACATATCTAATATCTGTGTCAAAATCCTCCAGGTTTATCACAAAGCCCTGGTGGACATATACACCTCTCAGCATGTCTTTCACAAGCTCATGAACAAGGCGAGGAGGTGTGTGTTTCTTAAACTCAACACTCTGGACCACCACAGTTATTCTGACACCTTTCAGTTTGGGGCAGGACACAGGTGTGAGCTGTCCGGGCTCCAGGTTCAGGTGTGCAGGGAGCTGAGAGATCAGACTGAGAGAGCAGCATTTCGGGTCCATTTGCAGGAAGCCCTCCGCCAGGTCAGCTCGAGGCCAGGCGGTGCACAGGCAGCTTCCCCCGGGAACAGACACCAGCAGAGGGGAGCCCAGAGACAGACCCAGCGCCGACATCAAGCCCGGACCCAGCCTGCATCTCTGAGAGCCGCGGTCCGATGGAGCCGCTGACAGCAGCCGCAGAGACTCCATTATCCACCCGCAGCTGACAGCACGGCACAGACGGAGAACAAGGGATAGTTAGCTCTTTATTGTCAGAGTAATGCAGGATAAACAAGAGCATAAACAGTCATTCAGGAGCGAAGTTGGGCGTCATCCCTTCAGCTCCTCTCTCAACTTTAGCTAGGCTACATGCTAGTAGCTAGCCGTTAGCTACAAAAGCTTCTGCTAGCTGCGTTCATCACAGAATAGAAACGGTGACACACTTACCTACAGATAAATGCCAAAACCAGTCAATAACAACTAAAAGGCATCAATGTTAGAGGCGCTCAGAAAGGCACTGAAAGGCTGGTGTTTACAAAGTCCATGTGGCGACAAGAGAAGATGGCCAACCAAAACGTTTTCCTGCGCGACCCCCTCCTCCTTCTTCTTCTTCTTCTTCTTCTTCTACATCTTTAAGGTTATTGTCGGTGATTTTTCGCCGTTCTAAATTTACAAAGGAAGAAATATGATACCTAAATTGAAAATACATTTTATATAATTATTACCGTCTGTTATTAATACTATCATCATCATCATCATCATCATCATCATCATCATCATCATCCTTCTTCTTCTTCTTCTTCTTCTTCTTCTTATTATTATTATTATACTAAGTACAACATGCCTGTTCAAAATTAAATAATTTAAATCATCTTTTAGTATTATTATGAGGGACAATGTTTTGAAAGTGGTGTAAAAAAAAAAAAATCACTATAAATTTCTAGGAAAACATACATGCCACAACAAATGACGGAATTATTTATTATTTATTTTATTAATATTTTCAAAAATAATTTTTGACCTAATTGCATGTTTTTACTGTGGAGATTTTTTTTAAGTTAATTTATTTAATTATTTTTCTGATGATTAGATTATTGCTGTGTTTTGATGTTGGAGGTGAATATGAAAATTAAAATACAGAAAAATGAAGACAAATCCTTTGAATATAATATAATATAATATAATCGTACATGTCTTATATAGAATGTTAATGATATAAGTACTTTATACAATGTACAGGGAAGACACTAAAGAAATAGTCATGATCGTCCAACAAATTGTAAATTGTACTTTTTTCTGTGCTCTCTGGCGTCACCGTGTGTGCAGAAAATAAATGTAATTAACAAACATCACTACCAAAAATTAGATCAGTTATGTGCGTACTAGCGTTTTCTTTACATTTGTCCAGGAAACAACAGTGACTACTGAGAGGCCGTCCATCGATGCAGAGCTTTATAAAATAAAATCACAAGTGACAGGTAATCCTGATTTCTGACATGTTAATCCAGCCTGTAGCTGGCGGGGAGTCTGCAGGACTTATCTGCGTCAAGGTGGTCAGGAGTGGAGTCACGTGGTCTCCTGTTTATACATAAATAGTGCGGCAGTGATATCGAAACTGCGGAAGGTCGTCTGTCTGTCCGTCCGTCCCTGCGAGCAGACGGAAGGATTTTGGGGGTCGGACATCTCTCAGGTGACCCTGCTGCTGAGGTAAAGTTGAACCTGCTCAGTCTGAAAATCTGAAAGGCAAGTCTGAGAATAATCATCAAGCAGTCTTGCACTGTGTGACTGAATGAGTAAAGGATCAGTGGTAACACGTGATTCAGTAAATGAATGAATGGATGGATATATAAAAAAAAAAAAAGCAAATGCAAAACCAGAAACAACTGATCTGCCTCAGAATCAAACCTCTCAAGTGTAGCACTACAAGTTTCCACACTCATGCTTTTCAGTCATGATATTTTGTGTTTTTATTGATGTGCAGACACCACATTTGTGCAGTTTTGATTGTGTAAGAAGGTGTAAGTCGATGTCTGAGTCCTGATCTGTCTCCTCCTGCCCCACGACTCTTTATCCGAGCACTGATTCCTCTCACAACAACCAGGCCAGACTTGGCACAGTTCCCCTCTGCGCCGTCATAAGTCCAGATCTCGCGAACAAACCCTGGAGTGTGTAATCAAGCCTGGACCCTGTATGTGTGTGTGTTGTGTCCTGCGGGGCTGAAATGTCACTCTGCTGTATGTAGGCCTCTCGGCACAGACATCCTGAGTGTGTGACTGGGGGCTCGGGACCTATTTTTTGAGGGGGATTATCATGTTTTTTGTTATCTGACAGCAGAAGTACTTCTCACTCGTCTCTGCTTATTGTTTGTGTTCATTATCAAGAGCTAGAGGGAGTCTCAAGGAGGTGCCATGTCGACCCTCCTGCGCTGCATCTCCAGCCCTTCTGTCGTCTTATTCCAGCGAGGGGTCCACAAGAAGATACCTGGAAGGAGGCATTTCAGGACTTTCCCCGTGTTATGGGACCAAAAGGCCTCCAGAGGTAGGAAATGTCCAGCTCTATTAAAATGTCCCAGCTTAAGCTGACAATATTTCCCCCAGAGGACAGGCTTTGGGTTTTGCGTGCTTTTCTTTCTGGGTTTGGATTTCCTCTGCGTCTGAGCTGAAGAATGACGGTTCACTCGAGGACACGCTCGCTCTGGCCACAAGAGCGGAAAAAACTTCAACCAAGTGTTTGCAGCAGGTTCCTAGAGATGTTCCCAAAATAGGGAAAGTTGTTGTGAAGCAGGCCGCAGCCCCAGACACTGCTAACATGTGAGAGGTCAGTTAAAGGTGACATGTAAAAGCTGAACTGCCATCTGGCTGCAGCCTGTCGACAGGTCTTTTTGTTAATGGAGCCGGCGCTGTTGGCAGGACGCATGCCACGAAGTGTTTGTGAAAGTTTTGTGAGTGACTGAGAGCTTTTAAAGTTTGAATTTTGAGTGTGTCTGCGTAGGGAGTGCAGGCCTCACTGTGTGTGTGTGCTGGCTCGCCGCCAATCACCTGCTAATAATGTCTCCGTGGTGGCGAGGTCACCGTGCCATGTATGGAGAGAAACGTGTAACCTGATACTGTTCCTGGACGCACGATCTGAGCTCTACACGCATGCTCTTCTGTGTTGTTGCTCAAAAACATGAACAAAAATTCCCCCTATTTGTCATTTGTCTGATATAGTTTAGTAACTTTCACCTAAAATCTGTCTTGTCCTGAGCTGCACCCTCAGCCTTCACCTGTTCTGTGTGTTCAGGTGTGCTCTACAAGGACGTGGTGGTTGGAGTTCCCAAGGAGACGTTCCAGAATGAGCGTCGCGTGGCCTTGTCTCCTGCCGGCGTCCAGGCTCTGGTCAAACAGGGCTTCAGGGTGCAGGTGGAGAGCGGAGCTGGAGACGAATCCAAGTTCTCTGATCAGCAGTACAGAGATGCAGGAGCCACGATTACTGATGTGAAGGGAGCATTGGGCTCAGATCTGGTCCTCAAGGTTGGGACACGTCTGCTGTTTGACCTGCTAATCTGATAATTCTTTGTTAACTTTAAGCTTGGCTGTGACTGAATTTCTACTTCTGCATTCCCACTCATGGTTTGTAGCATCCTTTTGTTGTGATGTGAACAAATGGTGGGCTGCAAGGTGGTGCAGTTGGTTAGCAGTGCTGCCTCGCAGCAAGAAGGTTCGCCGGTTCGCGTCCCGGTGGGGGCACTGGGATCTTTCTGCGTGGAGTTTGCATGTTCTCCAGGTTCTCTGGCTTCCTCCCACAAGTCCAAAAACATGTTGAGGTTAATTGGTGATTCTAAATTGTCCGTAGGTGTGAATGTGAGTGTGCTTGGTTTTCTGTCTCTAAGTGTAGCCCTGTGATAGACTGGTGACCTGTCCAGAGTGTCCCCTGCCTTCACCCTGAGTCAGCTGGGATGGACTTCAGCCCCGCCGTGACCTTAGTGAGGATTAAGCGGTGTATAGATGATGGATGGATGAACAAATGGTGTTACCCTCCTTTATTTTTTGGAATATTTTTTCTAGTCTTTTATTGTTCAAATTTGTTATAATAAAATTTTTCCCTTAAATTTCTCCATCAGCTCTTCTTTTGGGGAAAAAGCCTTTTGTATATACTCTGAGGCTCTTATTATGTAATTTAAAAGAAATAATACATTTATTTCAAATAAACTAATTTAGAACAAATTTTTGCTGGTATCGTGATGGTCGTTGTATTTAAAGTCTTTCAACACTTTACGCCGAATTTCTAAGAAATCTTAAAAAATAGACTCTTCAAGGTTTGCACACATCTGTTTGTTCTGCTAATTTAATTATTCTTTGTTCACTTTAAGTCTTGATTTTACTGAATTTCTACTTCTTCTACTTTCTACTGCATTTCCACTCATGGTTTGTAACATCCTTTTTTGTTGTTGTTATGTGATCAGATGGCAGTACCCACCTTATATATATATTTTTTTTCAAAAAATTATAACTATTAAAAAAAACATTTTTTGTTTTAAGTTTTGTTCTTTTATTGCTCAGATTTTTAAAACTATTTATTTAGGCTAATATCATAATTTAATATACTTTTCACTTAAATTTCTTCGTCAGCTTGTCTTTGGTGAGACGAGCCTTCTGTATCTGCTATTAATTGTGAATTTATGAAGAAAGAAAAATATTAATTTAAAATACATGAGTTTAAATGCATTATTGTTATTGTGATGAACAATGTTTTGAAAATCTTGAGAAACTTCTCTATACATTTCTCAGATCTTCAAAAATAGATTCCTTGAGGTGTGTACACATCTGCTATTTAGTATGCTTATGTGGTCACTGATTTTGTTCACTTCAGGTCTTGATATTACTGCATTTCTACTCATGGTTTGTCTCATCCTTTACTGCTTTCAGGTTCGAGCCCCCAGTTTGAGTGAAGCGGATCTCCTGAAGCCGAAGTCCACCTTGGTGAGCTTTGTCTATCCAGCGCAGAACCCAAAGCTGATGTCGAAGCTGTCGGAGAGGCAGAGCACCGTGCTGGCCATGGACCAGGTGCCCAGAGTTACCATCGCTCAGGGATACGATGCACTCAGCTCCATGGCCAACATCGCTGGGTAAGGGAAAATACATCCTTGCGTGCAGACTCGTATGTTTGTAGCTGTTCAGGAATGTCTAGCTACAGTAAATGTGACTTGAATATTTATTTTGTAGGTACAAGGCTGTAGTTCTGGCTGCCAACAACTTTGGCAGGTTCTTCACCGGTCAGATCACAGCTGCAGGAAAAGTACCTCCAGCTAAGGTAAACGTCTGCACATTATGCAAACCAGCAAGTCTGATTTCCAGATTCTCACACTGTTTTCTCTTCGTCGACCTCAAATAAAATGTGCACTGTGAGTCTCCTGGTGGTGTTTATGGATGTTTCTGATAAACACAGGTTCTGGTTATCGGAGGTGGGGTTGCTGGTTTAGCAGCAGCAGGAGCAGCCAAGTCAATGGGAGCCATAGTCAGGGGATTTGACACCAGGTATGAGACGGAAGAAAAAAATGTTTCAAACTCAGTGATGAAGATTGTGATGGGTTTTGCTTTTGACAATGAGCTGAGTGTTTCTTGTCTGCCAGGCCTGCAGCTCTGGAGCAGTTCAAGTCATTTGGGGCGGAACCTTTAGAAGTCGACATCAAAGAGTCTGGCGAGGGGGTCGGAGGTTACGCCAAGGAGATGTCAAAGGAGTTCATTGACGCTGAGATGGCTCTTTTCGCCAAGCAGTGTAAAGAGGTCGACATTCTCATCAGCACTGCCCTGATTCCAGGTTGGTCACACTGGTACCTTCTCCCACTTTTATCTTTATGTGTGGGTATTTAAAGCCTCATTAATCATTATTTTGCTAGCAACACTGAACCAGATGACTGAAATGGAATAGATTGTTCATAGCTATAAACCTTCTCAGAATAACTACCCAACTCAACAAGTGTGCTGACCTTTCTACCTGCTGTTTGCTCAATGTTTTGGCTTAGTCACCTGGAAATGTTTGGTATAGTTAAAATTCAACTACTCATCAATCCACCTTGCCCACAGTAAACAGATAAAGGGTGCATTCTATGTATGTTCCAATACACTGTATGTTGAATGTTTTAAGCCAGAGTGCTTTTCTGACCTACAACTCTCTGTGCATCAAATATGTCATGGAATCTTGCAAGTATAAATCCACTTGACCCCATAGAGTGATCACAGACAGATGAGAGCACAGTTTGCATGTAAGACTCAAAATTTAAGGTGCATTATTATAACCAAGTAATTGTGTACATACTGCATGTATGTAGTTTTGTAAGGACAACTGCAGTAAGTACTGAGAGTAAAAGCAAAAGTCTGTGATTTGAAATGCAGAATAATTTTCGACTCAGCTGATGAAACACAAACATGGATTATTTAGCAGCTCAGGACCCAAATGTGTTATTCAATAGTTGGTGGGCGCTTCAGAAATCCTGAGATTAAAGAATTTACATTGTCCAGCAGGAACTAACAAAACTTGCTTAGTTTCCTGTTTGATTGCATCAGTAGCCAATAATTGCGAACATGTTAGCAAATTTGATAACCTTGTTTTTTTTTCTTTTTCTTTTTCTTTTTTCTTTTGTTTTTTTCTTGTTTCTGTTTTGCCCCCTTGTGGCCAAAAATTGCCCATTGCAGCTTTAATGTGGATCAACTGTCCTCTTCTGCATAATTTTATGAAAAGAGTTTGATGCATTATTTGTCTGCGCTCCTGTTCTCATTCAGGAAAGCGGGCTCCCATTTTGATCAAGAAGGAGTTTGTGGATTCCATGAAGGACGGCTCCGTGGTGGTGGATTTGGCCGCAGAGGCGGGAGGCAACATCGAGACCACCAGGCCTGGCGAGCTGCACGTTCACAAGGTGAGGTTTCTGCTTAGCCAGCAGATGTTGAGAATAAAACCCAAAAGAAATATTTATAGTTTGTCCGCCAATGTGGAAAATTCACAGATGATGTCCTTCTTTTTTTTTTTTTTTTTTAAATTGACTAGGGAGTAACACACATCGGCTACACAGACTTGCCCAGCCGCATGGCCACACAGGCCAGTACTCTGTATTCAAACAACATCCTGAAGCTGCTTAAGGCCATCAGCCCTGACAAGGACTACTTCTACTATGAGCCTAAAGAGGAATTTGACTATGGAACAATGGACCATGTCATCCGTGGGACTCTGGTGATGCAGGTGGGTCCTTATTTGCTGTAACTGTCTACTGGCAGCCTGCGTCTCTGCTGGCATCCATCCTTCCTTCTCAGCGTGAGCTATCAGATCCTGTCATGCTAGGATACAGCGCCAAATGAGTACTAAAACCCAGTCCCAGCTGGGAATAGCTCTCGTTGGATCCCAGCAAGAATGTTATGAACGTTTCAAAATATACTTTCCCAGGAATTTTGGCTTTGACACATTGTTTATGGCAGAGAAAGCATGCAACCTCAACAGGACATATCAGTTTACCCCTTGTTAAACTGAGCATTATTCAGGCCCCTTAAAAGAGAATTTATCTTTGAGAACCACTGCTAACTGGTTCATGATTGCTGTTTGTTCAGTATAATCTCTGAGGCAGTCCCGGAGTTTGTACTCCGAGATCTCCCACAACGCAAAAGTCTTGATGTCTGTTTCTCACGCAAAATTTTGTGGACGTCTCCTGTGTTCCCACACTGGTGTTCTTGCGTGTTTTTTAAAAAAAAATATTTTTTTCTTTTATGGTGTGCGCAGGAAGGCAAGAACATGTTCCCGTCCCCCCTCCCGAAAACCGCCCCGCCAGCACCGGTTAAACAGAAAACAGTCGCAGAGTTGGAGGCTGAGAAGTCAGCGTTGGTTTCACCCTTCAACCGCACCATGACCTCCGCTGGTGTCTATACTGCAGGTCAGATCCATGCAGAAATATGCAGACTTGTGGAAATCTGAAGCAATTTTATATGCTGTGAAGCTACCAAGGGGTTTGTACAGTGTTTTTGTTCCAATTCTGTGCAATACACTCACTTCTGCTGCACTATAAACTAAATGTATATAAATTTACCAAATGAAAATTTAGAACATAAAAAGATTCTTTAGTTTTGTTCAGTCTAAATTGTTCAAATGTCTGAAAAAAAAAAGTCAGCTTTTTCTGTTACGTCTTAGTCTGACATGAAAGTCTTTCTTGTTCAGTATGTAGCACTTCAAAATGGAACTGAAAGAAAAAATATTAGCAACAGTTTCAATAGTTTTTCAAGCAAAAATGTCACACATTTTGCATTGACTTTCTCTCTTGGCTGATTATGCTTCACTTAGATTATCAAACTGAAAATGTTTAGACTTGGACCCAGTAAAGTAATCGAATACGTCCACTTGGCTTGTTTTATCGATCAGCCGATTGATTTATTACTCTGGACAATCGTTGGCTGATTCATTGATGGAAAAAGCCCAACAACTGTTACTCATCGTACTCGTTCCAAATAATCTCATTTGGAATATGGTTTATATAAAAAAAAAAAAGAAAAAGAAAAAGTAATTACTGCTAAAATTACTAAACCCACTAGATTTTGATGTGATTTTTGAAAGCTACTCCTCTATAATTGAGCCTAGTGGCGAATTCATTTTTCACTAAAGTATAACATTTGAGTTAAATTCTTTCACAGAAACTATGAATCACAACACTTGGATTACTGGTTTTAATAATACAAAAAGGCTTAAGATATTCAGTTATTCCATGACTTTAATGGGCTTTAATGGATTAAAAACAAACTGGAAAACAACAAAGTGCGCATGATTTCCCACTACACTGTAGTTCTGCAGAGACACAGAAACATAACAACAACAGCACTGCTCTGTCTGTCTGTCTGTCTGCAGGTCTGTCTACCTGTCTGGGTCTCGGCATCATCTCCCCCAATGCAGCTTTCACTCAGATGGTCACAACCTTTGGTCTAGCTGGCATTGTGGGATACCACACAGTGTGGGGCGTGACCCCCGCCCTGCACTCACCCCTCATGTCGGTCACCAACGCCATCTCAGGTCAGCAGCCAATATGAGGTGATTATAGCTAAACTTAGAAACCGAGTAAAGGTGGTTTTAATAGTGTTTCTTTCTGCCAGGTCTGACAGCAGTGGGAGGTTTGGTGCTGATGGGTGGAGGTCTCACACCCTCCACCCTCCCACAGAGTCTCGCTCTGGCTGCTGCCTTTGTCTCCTCCATCAACATTGCCGGTCTGACATTCAACACAAAAAACTAACTGTAGGGAACATGATTATTGCCATCTCAACCAAATGTCCATATTTTTCCCTGTGCATTTCCAGGTGGTTTTCTGATCACTCAGAGGATGTTGGACATGTTTAAACGTCCCACTGACCCTCCTGAGTACAATTACCTGTATGCACTGCCCGGGGCTGCATTTGTTGGAGGATACGGAGCCTCAGTGGCTGCTGGATACAACATTGAGCAGGTGAAGGGATATATATATAATTTTTTTCCCCACTTAAAAATATCTAACTTAAATAGCTTCTCAGTGAAAAGGTACTTAGTAAAACTGGTTGTGCTCAAAGCAAAATTATAGATAGTTTTAAATGACTGCTGCTTGTGCAACTACCCTTAAAGCAATTTTTATTTTTTTTTAAACATTTTATTTGGTTATCTTGAATATTGTTAAGACTATAAAATGTCAGAGAATAGTGAAATATTACCAAGGTGACATCTTTGACTTGTTGTGTGCCTCCAATAATTTACATATTCAGTGGAATAAAGTATAAGCAAAATTAGATAAAAAGTGACTTGGATTACTAACTGAACATCAAAATTGTGTAACTTTCAAATATTTTTTTTGGAGGATGGATTATTTAACTAAGCATTTAAGCTTGAATGAGAACATTTTTATTCAAGTCTTAAAGGTTCCATAAGTTACCCCTTTTTAATAAGTTAAGTCACATGTACCTGGTATGTATATTTCAAGTTTCAGCTCAAAATACTGCACAGATCATTAATTCTACGATGCCTATAAAATCCCCAGTTTAAGCCCTGTTCCAAACCAGCTGTAGCTTTAAATCCAACTCCAACTGAGTTGCTGTTGTTGATTTTCTCTGTGTACTTGGAGTGTGTTCCAAGACATATACTGTCATACTATATAGTACACCAGTAAGTAATTTTGTATGTCTTATTAAGACATCGTATGTTAGATATAGTATGCCAAAAAATGCCCTTAAGTCGTACTACATCCCACCAGATTTCACAGATGGCAGCTCATTTGGCATTTCAGACTATGACGGTCAAATTTAAGGCACATAATTACGACAAAGTGGTATGTTTCAATCATATGCATACTGTATAAAACAATTTGTACTTCGTGACCTGTAGCATGTACTTAAATTACAAAGAAAAAAAAGTATGTAAATTGGAATGCAGCCTTGGTTCAATGATCCAATCACTGTCTCCACCGTGAGGCCTCGGTGCTACAGATCAACAGAATGTTGGGCCCAAAATTTGGCATCACTTCGATTGTTCATGTTCAGGTTTAGTATTCCTTATTAATGAGGACGGCCACTTATGAATGATAGGATCCCTGCTGTTTCATGATGTGAATATATAACATTTATTCATACATTGGTTTCACATATCAGTTATTGCTGTCCTTGATTTCTTATAATCAGTATTGGCCCTGTAAAGAAGCATTGATCCCTTACCTAAACCCTCACAGATGTCAGAGTGGTCACGTTTGAGCACGCCAGTTCACGAGGCCGCAAACTGGTAAAAAGTGGAGGAATGGGACACAGCACATGTTGTTTGGAAACAACATATTGCCATTAAAAGATTGAATTTGGACTCATTTGCAGTTTGATTAGCTGCTCAGTTTGTCACTGGTCAGTTAATCGCTCCCGGATTCTGACATTACAGTGTTTAGACATTTGAGCAAACTATCAAAAGTCAGGGATGACATGAATATGTGTAAATCCTCTGCGGATGTTTGACTGAATGTACAAACAACTCTACAAACATGCAATATATATCCGTAACAGCGGGAAGCCAGATGCTGTCGCTGACAGATAAACTTCCTACCGGATTTCTTCCCTGCACCAGCAGGCAAGCCCAAGGTTTTGTCACTAATTTGGCTGCAAAATACAGGCAAGTCCCTCAAGGTAGCCTGTAGGTAAATGGACTCCCAGAAAGGCTGCATAATAATTTTACACTGCTGGTACTGCAGCTAATACAACACAGAAGATTAGTCTATTGGTATTTGTCACAGAGAATACTGAATATTGCCAAAAACTTAAGTAATTTCCTGCCTCATCGGACAGTGTCAGATCTTACTGCAGTTCAATATCCTGTTTGCATTAAGTCCAACAGCTCCCATGTGCAGCTGTCACGATAGAAATAAGCAGCTGCATTGATCAGTAAAATAAATATATAAACATGCGTGATTAAAAAATTTTCTGCCAGCATTCCTCTCTTGCATCATTTGCATCAGCAGCAGCTTTTGTACTGCCGCTATTTTTTTCGTATTCTTCAAAGCTCTCCATTATAACGACCCGTTGACTGAAGTAGGGCCCACACCAATGGTCTGTTTTTTGTCACGTGATGTGTTAAAAGCCCTCTTTTATGTGTTGACCGACTTTCAGAATTTGTCAAGTCGGTTTTCACGCAGAAAGCCTGGCTATGACAAACTTGCTTGATGATGCATCTCTCAGAGACACTTCCTGATCTATAGAGAGAGCAAAGAAATCACAGGGATGGTCTTTTCTCCTGTTTTGTTGGGTCACTAGATATATTAGGCACCATGTAGTTATATTCAAAAAATGTATTTTGCACAATATGGCTCCTTAAATTTAGTTTATTCCTGATTGTTGATCTACAGATGACTTGTTGAGTGACTCGGCTGTGACTTTGATGAGAGTCTGACTTGTGTTTTTCCCCTCAGATGATGTACCTGGGCTCAGGCATGTGTTGCGTTGGTGCACTGGCAGGCCTCTCTGCCCAGGGCACCAGTCGCTTGGGGAACGCCCTGGGTATGATGGGAGTGGCAGGGGGCATCGCTGCCACCCTCGGTGCCCTCAAACCCTCCCCAGAGCTGCTGTCTCAGATGTCCCTGGCCATGGCCACCGGAGGAACCTTGGGTAGGCAGATCCCTGCATGTAGAGGTCCCACAACTGAAATACACGTGATGTTGTGATGACAAACTCAGATGGACAGGATTATTGAAATGCGTCCTGTGGCTCTCATTATGGTTCATCACAGCCTGATTTAGTTCCAGAGAGGATCGTGCTGTCCTCCGTGCTTTACTGTCTCGTTTCAAGGAGACTCGTGACCAGTGAGGCACCTCTGGGTTGAAAAAGAAACAAAATTAATAAAGTCGGGGCGTGGATCTTTTTTTTTTTTTTGAAGTCCAGCAGTTTGTTTAGAAAACTTACAAGACCACCATGAATGAGTTACTGCTTATTAACGTTGCATGCGGCTCCTTCGGTCTTTGAAGAGAGTGAAGTTTCTGCTAATTCATAACAGAGCATCAATCATCCTGTCCAGACGCAGAGATGAGTGGATTCCGTCATCATATGTGAATGTTGTACATGTTAATAGTAATTTAAGAAGCAGGATGATAAATGATGCCGTAATCATCGCGTACACAGGCAGACGCCCATGAGGGTTTACTCAGTGTTAATGCAGTGTCCGTATGTTTTCAAGAAAGCACAATTAAATGCTTAGAACTCATTGGATTGTCTTTGAAGATCAGGCCCCATAACTGAAAACAGGCGTCTGCTGTTTAACCCTTTAACCTTTTTTTTTTCATTCACTTCATTTTTCTACCTCTTAAATGCTTTTTAAGTTTGGTTCTGGTGTTGGACTCAGCCAAATATAATTACTCACTGCAATCTGTTTTCTTTTTTATTCATATCTTGACTGCAGGTCTGACCATTGCCAAGCGCATTGAAATATCAGACTTGCCACAGCTCGTGGCAGCCTTCCACAGCCTTGTGGGGCTGGCGGCCGTCCTCACCTGCATTGCAGAGTTCATGATAGAGTACCCCCACCTGGACGCTCACCCGGCAGCAGGTGTGGTCAAGACCGTGGCTTATCTGGGCACCTACATCGGGGGCGTCACCTTCAGTGGGTCGCTGGTGGCCTACGGCAAGCTTCAAGGTAAAACACGAACAGCATCTACTGTACAAGTGCATACAGATATTGTGAGACGTTTTCAAGTCGGTAGACTGTGTCCTTCCTTTTCAGGTCTGATTGTTGTTCCTCTTCAGACTCAGACGCTCTAATATCTGTATAAACACGATGAGCTTTACGTCCTCTAGCTCTGATTTTCCCTTTCATCTAGTTAAAGCCAAAGATCCTCTGTTAAATCCAGGCCTGGACCAGGGGGTTCGTGAGCATGTGTCAGCAATCTCTAATTTACGTAGTAGCGCGACTGATCAAGAGGAACACATGAGAAGCTTTTTGGTAATTTGTTCTGGGTAGGGCAGGGCAGCAGCTGCATGGCTGTGGTCGGTGGAGGGTTGCTGGCTGATTTGTGGATGAGACAGACTCTCAGACAGCTGATTAGAGGCTGAGTCTGAGGGCACAAAGACAGTCAACACTGATTAAGAGAAAAGTGTGCTCGCATGTTTTGTCTGTCAGTTACGTCCCCTTTATGCCGAGAAGAGAGTGACAGTAATTTGTGGCTTCTCTGAAAATGTGTTTTTCAAAAATGTTTTCGGTTGCAGGGATCCTGAACTCTGCCCCCCTGATGCTGCCTGGGAGACACATGTTGAATGCCGGTCTGATGGCAGCATCGATGGGAGGCATAGTGCCCTTCATGCTCAGCTCCAGCTATGGTACTGGCATGGGGTGTCTGCTGGGGGTGTCCGGACTTTCCACTGTTATGGTGAGTTCTGAAGCTGCAGGCAGGTGACAAAAATAAAACACTGAACATAAGGTGTGCAAATTATGGACTTCTGAAAAAGTCTTTATTTCATCTTGGAGTATACTAACACATCAGCATAGATTAAAGAAGTCTTTCTGGCTCAGAATGGGCCTTCTGAATGTGACTATGTGGGTGTACAGCACATGTCCAATAAAGGCAATAAC